CGGATTTTCAACACCAACGTCAAGTCAGTGCTTCTGTATGGTTGAGAGACTTGGCGTGTTACGAAAGGGATTTCCAATAAACTACAGACATTCATCAACAACTGCTTACGCTCGCTCGTTACTCAAGCTCAGATGGATTGCCAGAAAGAATAAGCAACAAGGAACTCACTCTGGGAACGAACCAACCAAAAATCTATCACCCAACAAATATGCACTGGAAGGAAGTGGAAATGGATTGGGCATACACTGAGAAGGCCGACTGGGGATATCACGCGTCAGGCCAGTCACCCGAGTGGAACCCCGATGGGAAGCGACGAGTTGGACGTCCGAGGAGAGGGTGACATGGAGGAGATCATGCGAGGAGGAAATGAGAGCTTCTGGGCTCTCTTGGAGCCAGGTTCAAAAAATTTCAGAGAACAGAGTTCACTGGAGACATGCTACTGAAACCCTATGTTCCATTAGGAACCCAAGGGACTAATAAAATTAATAAATAAATTGCTGAATATGCTCCAACACCGTCTGAGTGTATAGTTAACTATCTCGTGAACTTGAGTACTCTATAAGTGTTGTGGATTGTTAAGATTTCACTTCCCAGTCAGTTATGGATAGTTAGATACGAACTGGTATCATATAATCACTTATGTAAGGTTTAGAATAAAATCCATCAGATACCAACGTGGTTGGCCCAAGTGAACTATTAAAGTATTTATATCGGCTACTGTAGACGACATGTGAAGGCTTATTATGCAAACTGGTTGTTTGAGCAGAAGTATGTAGAATACGATTTGAGTCCTAAACTAATTGCTTCGGTTACCTATTCACATTTGCAGAATTAAAATGAAATAGCCTGCTGTACTACAGAAATTCGTGAACTGTATCTTTAATTAGTTCCCCTCTACGGCTCCCAAGTTCCTAAAACGTATGTTATAGCAAGGTATTTTACACAGAATGAACACTGATAGTCAATCCATAATTTACCACCAAATTTCAGTAGTATTCTTTGCTACAATGAAATAGGCAAAACTTCGTAGTGGGTAACTTGAAAGTGTATTGCTGCACGCTATCACAGTTCACAACGGCAAAAACAGAAAACTCAAGAAAAGTAGAAAATACAGAGGAATAAGAATCTGGAAAAGAGAACAATAAGCTGTTTGATATATTGAGGGAGCCTAGGTAGTTAGTGCAGTTGCATTAGAGTTATCCATTCTGAGCTATGCTTCGGAGTCCTCAACCACTCATTCTTAACATTTCAAGGACCTAAGCAAAGTAGCTTACACTCTTATACACAGGTCCCAATTAGATTAGTCAGCTATTTTTTTATCAGAACCGTCTTAATTAGGTCCCTCTAAACTTTCTTCTAATCTAGTAATCAACAGGTGGACGGTAGATCAATGTGTGTAATACATCCAAGAAATCTTTATCAATACATATATACGGTGGTTCGCCTCACTGAATGCAAGTCAACTTCCAAAATGATAATTAGAAAAACAGAAAACCGCGTTACCATGCCTCACATAAATAGAAAAACTATGAGATTTTGATAAAATAACCAACTAGAATTCAAACATAAGTGAAAAACTTGGGCACTGTGGTAGAATGTAGTTCCATATTAGATTTGTTTATTTGATATATATATATATATATATATATATATATATATATATATATATATATATATATATATATATATATATATATATATATATATATATATATCAAATAAATCTAATATGGAACTAGAATTCAAACATTTATTGCATATAACTGACTGAATGCAAACGCTCTGGAAATGCATCTAGTTATAACCTTAAATAACAATATTTGGTGGCTATTTATCTGGTTAAAGTACAATAGGTGTCATCGGAGTGACAACTTAAGCCAATGCACTAATGAGCAGGGTTCTAAGCCGCAATATTTTATTCTAGTTAGATGTAGCCACTTGAAAATTTTTTTCGTGGTGCGCTATGTTCACTTCACCTAAGTGGACAGAATCTTAGCTAAGTGAATCCAGTATTTTATAATTAACTTTTAGATTCCTTTTCCCGAAGATAGAGATTAACGAGTCTACCATTAATTTCTACATGTACGCCACGATTTTGTCGAACTATTTTCACACATTAATACCCAATACCTTTACAAAACAGCATACCAAAGCAATGTACTGTCGCTGAATACTGGTTGTAAGACTACGCACAGCTAGATTAATTCATCAAAACGTAAACACTTCACTAAGACCTCGGACAAGAAGAGTATGTACATAGTGACAGGTCCTCACTTGAAAAGTTGACTGTAGTTTCAAAAAGTATGACATTTCTACATTAAACGGGAATGTGGTATATTTCACATTTCTCGCGACATCACTTATACTTTCAAAGATTCATCGTCCCTCCTTTTTTGCCCACTTTAAGTATCACAGGTACGTTTCAAGCAGACAGAAGAAATCAACATACAGCATCGCACACAAGTGCCTTACTGTGCCCGGTTTTGCGTCGCTTAAACTGCATTGGTCTCCATCCACAAGTGTATAACAACAATAAACTAGTTCTATTACTACCAAGGAAAATGGCTTTTCCAAAAACTAAATTCCTAGTGAGAAATAACATAACTCTGAAGACATCTAAGGACGTGTATAGCCTAGGAACTGAATAGCATTAATTATCTGCTAACCCATAAGTCAATCAAACATGAGCGCATGATCTAATGGATGAATCCAATTCCCATATTAATAGACGAACAAGAAGACCTAACATCATGGTATATTAACTTCCAGTTAGTCTAGCAGTCATTCGCTCACTTACCGGCAGACAGGAAAAATTAATTCCGATGCAAAGCAGCGGTTTCATACATTCAGCTGGTAATACTAATAACAATAATATTCATACAACATAAGTTACATGGTAACAGTAGACAGTTTAGACTTATTGAGGAAACTGAAGGGGGGGGGGGGGGGAAACGTCAACAACGGTTAGTGAGACTATAGCGGAGAAGGACGGGTCTGCGATCCACTCGCAGGGGAGACGACTAGAACGATGGGCAGAACACTCTGAGGAACAGTTTAACTGGCCTCCAGCCACCATTACGTTACCCGCTATCCAGTCGGGTCCTGAATGGAACATTGAGATATGCCCCCCAACACTTGCAGAAGTCGAGAAAGCTGTAGGTCACTTGAAACGAGGAAGAGCAGCAGGACCAGATGGACTAACTCCTGAGGTACACAAGGATGGTGGTGGAGTGATCTTAGTCAGGTTAACGGAAGTGTTAATTAGTATATGGGAATCAAATACGATCCCCTCTGACTGGCCGAAACCACTAATTATTCCAGTCTGACGAACATAGTATCTAAAATTCTAGGTTCTATAATTCTTCGACGCCTGAGTGGAGCTCAGGAACAGCAAGCCCAAGAAAACCAGGTAGGCTTTAGACCCAAGCGCGGGTGTATCGACTAAGTATTCACACTGTGACAGGTTCTGGAACACAGGCACGCTTACCGACGCTCGACAATAGCTGTATTTCTCGATCTGAAGGTGACATTCGACTCCGTTGATCGAGAAGTCTTATGAGAATGTCTCTCACTGAAAGGCATACTGAGTAAGTACATCGCCTTATTGAAGGCTTTCTACTCGAACACTTGTGGGCGTATTATAGCCTATGGTGAGATGTCCGGGAGCTGTGTTCGTCGAGTGGTGTCCGTCAAGGGTGCCCACTATCTCCACTCTCATTCAATTTTATCATAGATATTCTTATGAAGGTCTCCCTCTTGTCACCTGACTACACAGAAGTTGACCCAATCGTTAGACCTAGAATACCCAGATGACATAGTCCTGTTAGTGAAGATGCTGACAAGATGCAGAGTCTTCTGTAGACTTTGAGTGACAATGCGTTTCTCATCACCGAAATGCAAATTGTTGCTCTAGGATTGGTCTTCAACGGTGCCTCGAACTAACAATAGAGAGTGTAGTGATTGAGTGTGTTGACCACCTCACTTACCTAGGAAGTGAGATTAGCCCTGGTGGCTCAGTAGCCGATGAAATCTCTGCACGAAAACAAAAGACGACCGGCTTTTGCCAACTTACGCGACCAGTGGTGCCGCCGTGATATTCGATTGTCGATTAGGGGTCGGGTGTACTGTACAGGAGTCCGCTCTGTTCTACCATCTGACTGCGAAACATGGCCACTGAAGTTGCAAGACATGGGAAAGTTTCAGGTGTTTGACCACCGTTGCTTTCGTAGTATAGGCCGTATTCCATGATGTCACCACGTGAGTAACGCGGACAAAGAGTTTTGAGGAGAAGAGGTAAGTCAGTTGACGAGGTTGTGAACCTTCATCGACTGAGATGGTTGCGACATGTGTTACGTATGCCTAGTCGCCGTCTGTTTCGCCACACAATGCTGGTCGAAGTAGGTTCAGGTTGGAAAAAGGCTCTTGACTCGAGGCAGTCAGATTAAAACATGGCATCGATGTATGAAGTGTTTGACTGTTTGTTTGAGCCATGTGGGGCGATGCAGGTCGGGTGGTTGGGGTTCGCAGGACAAGAGGAACCGGTGGTTGGAGATTCTAGACGATATGGCTCCGAACCGATGTCAGTGGCACAGATATGTATACACACATTATCCTTAACCTAAGATCCCTCAATCACAAGTCAGTCATCATACATTATTAATCGTTGGAAAGTTAAAATCAAATCATGAAAAAACTGAGATAGACTGTGACGAGGAAAAAGCGAACTGTTATGGGGTTGCACACTGATCACTTGGTGAAAGGCTTATGAACAGAGATAAACCGGACATGAAGCCCTAGAGACTTATCCATAGAACTCATATTATTATACGAAATGTCTTTAAGTCTGCCGTACAGATTATTGCATCAATACACATTAGTTCAATAGTGATCTGAATTAACTCAGACAGGTATCACTATAGTGTATACACTAAAAAATGTTTGAAAGGACACGAGATATTTTCCAATGACTGGAAAAACAGTGGTTTTCATTGTTATTTACCTGACATACAAGACATGAAAATTATGATACCATGCATAGCTTGACGAGTGCCAGTCGCCTGACGAAATCCCAACCTGCAAAATGCGATACTAACCTTCGCGCGGTCAAAATGAAGCATTAACTATCCTTGTTCTGATTGGTCAGTATTATCCAATATCCAATATTGATTGTGCGAGCGTAGAAATCTGGTAGTTTTTGATCTCTCGCGTCTGGTTCTTAGGGCTTGGTTCCAGTTGTTCGGTTTACTCCTGCAGTGGACGAGGAAATCCCCTCTGCTTTCTTGCTTTTAGCTTCGGTTCTGATTGGTCAGTACTATCCAATATCCAATATTGATAGTTTGAGTGTAGAAAACTGGTAGGTTTCCATCCTTGGCATATGGTTCTTACAGCTTAGTTCGAGCTGTTCGGTTCGCCCCTGCAATGGAAATGGAAATTCCTTCTCTTTTATTGTTTTTAGGTTCGATGTAGTGAATGTTTTGTGGGTTAGTTTATATTGTAATTTCTAGTTATTTGGGTAGCTACGGGTTACTTGGATGATTAGAGGTCTGTTATGACTCTTGAGTACGTGAGTGCTTGAATGTGAATCGGAAGACCGTGAGAAAAAAGTATATTAGCTTTTCCGGAAAGGTACTAATTGATAGCATAGGTCCGGTTGCTACAATAGAGTTGGTAGATAATGTATGTGTTGAAAAGAGAGATACTGAGTGGCAGGTGGAAGGGGCTGATTATGAGCCAGTCAGGTGTGTGTTAGCCCTCTGATGAGCTATCGTAATGTGGTTTCTTTGTAACGACCTCTGTGATTTGCTAGTAAGGCTAATTTCTTTGTGTGATTTTGCCTGATGAGCGATATCGTAGGCTGTAGTAAGGTCACCACTCTTCCTGCGATAACGAATGGTAAGTGAGATGCTTTGGCTTTTTAGGGCATGCCTCCCTCCGCAACCCCACGACTGCTTTTTTGCTTTTCATGTATTTTTCTAAGGAGATTAGGGTGTAGCGTCACACACTTTCCCAAAATCAATAGCCTAGGGTTTGACGACTTTCGACATTGATGCTGACCCTGATAGTTTAACTGGAATCGCTAAGCTGAAGGCACCCGGTCAAGCATCCTCGCCATTTGGCACGCTGTCATGTTACGTTGCACCGCTCGTATTCGACTCTCTAGCCAGTTAGTTGAAACGTGTCAGCACCCCGAGCCCGACCTCGCAATTATACTATTCCATCCGACTACGCTGTCGTGTTCTCCCTTGGTCTCGTATTCGTGGGTATATAACAAGTCCGAATAATTAGTGATTGGTCTTGGCGTCTGTCAAGTTCGCACCAGGACAAATCCTAAACGGGTCTCTCTTGGGTTTTGGGAGGCAACCATACTGAAGACCTCTAGATGCGGCCTCACCTAGGACGTGAATACGGTGAGGAAGAGTTCGGGAATGAGGGCGCCAAGCTATCTATGCAGTGCATAAAGTGGCATCCTCTCTGGTTGCCATATCTTTGTAGTTGGAGCTGGTGTCCAAACTTTTGGAGAAGTTGAGTCCCAAACCTTTTTCCATGGATACTTTGGTGATAGCACAGTCACTCAAGTTGTATCGGGATTCAACCATTCTTGCTTTATAGGTGCTGATGTGCACTGTTTTGCACTTTTGCAGGTTAAAGCTCAAGCCATCTTCCGGTGACCAGAGTTCAAGGTGCTCCAAGCCACATTGTAGTGTTGTGCTTTTTCGTGTACCACTTGCACATTTTGGTGTCGCCAAAGAAAAGAGGATGGGTGAAGAGATCTTATGCGGCAGATAATTAGCAGACAGGAAGGACAGAAGTGATTCTAAAATATCTCTTTGGGATACTCCAAACATCGATGGTCTCCGCCCCGACCGTATTCTGTTTACCTTGATGCAGAACTCCCTGCCTTTTAGATACCCCTTGAACCAGGAGAGTGGGGGTTCACCTACACCAGCTGACCTGATCTTGCGGAGCAGGATTGTGCATGGGACGCCTTTCAGATGCTTTGGCCAGGTAGAGAAAAACAATATGTACCAGTTTTCTGTTGTCCCGGCTTCTTGTCCTGTCGTCCCAGGCAGTCAGTAGGTTGGTGACCTATGAACGACCACTCCGAGAGCTATGTTGAACAGCATATGTGGTGTTTTTTCTGTTGAGGAATCCCCAGATAAAGTCAGCTAGCAGGCTTTCTAACACTTTCCACACTACAGGGAGCAGATCAATCGGCCAGTAGCTGCAAGGGCTTGTCCTGTCTCTTCCCCTGAAGATGGATAACAAGGTGGCGCACTTCCATTCTTCAGAAAAGTGTACATGACTGAAGTGAGTGCTTGAAGAGGTTGCAGATTGGTTTTGCAAGTGCCTCCGTGGGCTCTTTAGAATCACCAGTTTTAGGTTATCGCAGCCAGGGGACTTGCCTGGGAATACTTTAGACAGTATCTGTGACTGAGATGTAGCAGTAGCAGTCATTATTTATGGTCCGGTCAATGTCGTAACGAACAGCTGTGAACTCGGTGTCAGTGTTAAGTTCAGTTTGAAAGCGGCGGCCCAGAAGCTCAGTTACATCCATACTGCTTAGTACACTCCCACCAGGACTTGTGGTAAGATTCACTCCCTTGCTGGTCTACTCTCTTTTCAACATGTAGTGGTACAGGTTTTTGGTGTTACCTCATAACCTCCCCACCAGGTTTGTTCCATGAGCAAACCTGCCACTATGTACTCTTGTGTCGCTGAGGTTGGGAATCCCTTTGTAGTTCGGAAAGTCAGACTTCCTGCGTGATGAGCACCGCCTGAACCAAGTCCGCTCCTTGGTGTGAAGTAGCCTCTCTTTCCCACGCCTTAGCCACGAGGTTCTCACTGACGGTCTGTGGGTTACCTCTGGTACATTGTTACTCATGGACCCAGCGATCGTTTTCTTCACCTGCACCCAGTGTTCATCTATTGTGAGATAGGTCCAGCCTACCGCCCATGATGCACTCATGATATAGTCCCCCATGGTCTCATAGTTGGTCCTGCCGCAGCAGGGGAGGATATTGGGCGTCTCCGGTTCCAGGGCCTCCTATGTAATCATGGAGAAAGTTGCTGCTGCTCGGTCACTAAGGCCAGGGGGGTGGATGCATTCATCCTTAATGAGAAGTTCGTCTTTCATGAGAACGTGGTTAGGAAGCAGCACATTTCCGTCAGGTCTCCAGCGTGTGGCATCATCCACTTTCTCTGAAAGGCCAGCAGTCTTGGTTGCATTCTTCAGCTCCTGACTGAAGGATGTGATGTGTCTCCCTTCCGTCTTGAAGAGGATAGACGGGGTATTGAAGTCACCGGCAATGATTACGGAGTCGTAATCTGCAGATGAAATCGTCAATATTGCCCTGATGAACATTTCCTTATGTGTACGGGAGCTGGTAGGAGACTGATATATGACTCCGACAGGTATTTGATGTGATGGAGAGTGGGGTAGCACCATACAGGTTCCGGAAGCTGTATTAGAGTTGTGTCGTTGGCCACGCTTGCCTTTAAACTAAAGCTTACGCAGAGAGCCAATCCTCTCCGCTCTAAGATGTGTGTCCCTGCGGAAGAGTTCTGTGCCAGTGACATGCACCTCTTCGTTGGAGATGTCCGGCCATAGCCAGGATTCGGTGACAAATATGATGTCAGGGTGCGGGCGTTCAGACAGTTTTCTCATCTCTGCCGCTTTTTCTCATGGCCCACCTAAGTTGCTTCACATACACTCTAGAGTGCCTGGTGAGAGAGGATGGCCGGTTGTGTATTTTTGCAAGCGGGGGTGCTTATGTGGTTGTGTCTAGCGTCACCGGTCCCAGTAGGATAGGCATCGCTCCGTTTCTTTGCTTTTAGTTTTCAACTTGGGTGGGGGCTGTGGCAACGTGGGCCTCTTACTTGATGTATCTGACCCACTGGTCAGTGACTGTGTGACAACCACTGGCGTTCTTGGCGTCCTGGCGGTTGCCGTCTCTCCTCTTGCACCTTGAGTCTATGCTTACTTTCACACATGCTTATTGAGCCACCCATGCCGTCTTTCACATTATGCCATGCTTATAGAAAGTCTGTGACGGGGCATGTGAGTAGAATTAGATGGCGAGCAGTCCGGAGTGGGATAGACTTCAGATGCGCTGGCCTCGGCAGCCTACTGACACCTTTGCCCGGTACACTGTCGAGACCAGCTTCGGTTGAGAGCCACTGTCATTGTTGGACGTCATGGGGCATCGATCTTTTGCAGACAGGTCACTTGGCCGTTCCGGAATCCCACATAAAACCATAGTCTTGTTTCTATTTGGATTTCCAACGGCTAATTTTGCTTCCTTTTCTCTTACTGGCCATGGCTTGTCAGGCCCGGTCTGAATTTTGCAAGTATACAGTCCGGTTGGAGCGAGAGAAGGAGGGTGTCTTCGACCGTTTCGGCAGTGTTCAAGGACACACGCAAAAAGGATGACCTACCTCGTGGAGCCCAGCTTCCGTGAGAAAGGTGACCCAGCGTCGAAGGGACAAAGGGATGTCCTGGTATCCGACGGTAGTCGGCCCCTATCCGGCTATCAGACTGTTCCCTTTCAACCGACAATGAGTCTGTCGATATATTAGCGTTGAACAAGATGATCGAGTAAGCCCTCTTGTGGCTTGAGTTCATTGCGGGTGGCACACCAGACTTTTCAGCTGGCTTGTAGTGCATTTTTACTGGCCGTCTCTCAGTCACGGGGTCTTGGATGTTTGGGCTGGGTTTCGTATAGAGTCTAGCTGTCGGCGCCTTTGGCCAGGCGCTTGACGCTATCTGGGGCTGGGTTGCGGCTACGCAGACTCGAACTAATGTGGTCCCCGCGAGTGGCGGTGGGTGCACAGCTGGAGATCTAGCTTTGTTTCCAGGTCCCTCTGTGTTATCCTTCAATGTCAACCCCACTTTATTCAAGCATGTTGGCAGCCGTTGCATGGCGGACACCATCTCTTCCGCGCTTTCCCCGCGGAGTCCGGGCCGCTTTCCGCACTGTAGACAAATGTACCAGAACCTTTCGCATGGTTGTTCCTCCATCAGCTTACAGCATTGTTGGGGTACTTTGGTGTGGCAGTTGCGTTGCCTCCATCAGAGGCACAGGTTGCAGGCGAATGCCTCAC